GGAAGGGGATAGAGTCAAACCCTATAGATTGAAAGAAAACTAAAAGAATATTAATCAATCTCAATGTGTAGACCTTATTTGGATGCTGATACAAGCAAATTGTAAAAGAAAACATTTATGACATTTCTAAGACAACTGAAGAAATTTGAACATTGGAAATTTGCTGGGATTAAGGAATTATAATATTTTTAGGTGTGACAATGGTATTATGTTTTATATATATATATATATACACACACACACATATGTATATATATTTAAGTCTGTATCTTTTAAAGATACATACTGAAATACTTACAAATGAAATATGTCTGCTATTTGGCATAAAATTATCTGGGAAGGGGGACTGGATGGGGCTAAGGATGAAATAAACAGCCATGAGTGGATAACTGTAGAAGCAAGGTACTGGATACACAACAATTCTTTATGTTCTTCTATCTTTGTACATGTTTTAAATTTCCCATAAGTAACAAAAAAAGAAAATCAATAAATCAAAGTAATTCTCCACATTAACAGAACAAGGGGAAATGATGTAATTGTTTCAAGAGGTGAAGGAAAAGCATTTGGTAGCGTTAGAACACTGGACTGAGTGGGAAAACATTGATTTCAATCCTGACTCTGCTCTGTGATTAGCAGGCAGGTCACTTTACATCTCTGGGTCCCAATTTCCTCACCTTTATGATAAAAGAGTTAAAATGCATGGTTTTTAAGTCCTCCCACCGCAGCTTTGTTTTCCAACTATTTATTGAAAGCCTTTTAAATACTAGAAATAGCCATGTTAACCTTAAAATTCAGTGACTGGCTCTCTCACCAGTTTCTCATCTATCCTGAGTTTCAACTTCTTCCTATGAGGTTTATTCCAAATCTAAACTTGGGGATTTTGGAGCTCATTCTCCTTAATGAAAATGTAAGCAAAACGTGACACCAGTGGTTCCATTATCTGTTGTTACTTGCAAATATTACCTCTCTATGCTGAGGGCCTGTTTCTCTGTTTTGTTCATCTAAAATTTACTAGAAGAAAAATTTTAATTCATTATCCTTTGGATAAAGGAACTATAACATGTATATTCCTTATGTGCAAGCATTATGATCTTGAAATTGTTTAATCTTACTGTAAAAGTAATTATTGAAAAGTAATTATTCAATCTCATCTGTAAAATGGGGATGATAAAAGCACCTACTGGACAGAATTTGAGGCTTAAATAAGGTAAAATATGTAAAGTTTTCAGAACAGTGCATGCAAGTGCTTGATAAACGTTTACTATCAGTATAAACGTGAATGGAATTCAGGACTATAAGCAAATATTAATGCATATAATGTAACCATGGTTCCCGAACTTGTGAACTTATTGGACTTGCCCTTAAGAATCCTGATGTTTGGGGCTTCCCTGGTGGCACAGTGGTTAAGAACCTGCCTGCCAACGCAGGGGACACGGGTTGGAGCCCTGGTCCGGGAAGATCTCACATGCCGCGGAGCAACTAAGCCCGTGCGCCACAACTACTCAGCCTGCGCTCCAGAGCCCGCGAGCCCCAACTACTGAAGCCCACGCGCCTAGAGCCCGTGCTCCGCAACAAGAGAAGTCACCACAATGAGAAGCCCGCGCACTGCAACCAAGAGTAGCCCCCGCTCGCCGTAACTAGAGAAAGCCTGCGCACAGCAATGAAGACCCAATGTAGCCATAAATAAATAAATTAAAAAAAAAAAAAAGAATCCTGATGTTTGGACTTCCCTGGTGGCACAGTGGTTAAGAATTTGCCTGCCAATGCAGGGGTTCGATCCCTGGTCCAGGAAGATCCCACATGCCACGGAGAGGCGCACCACAACTACTGAGCTTATGCTCTAGAGCCCTCGAGCCACAACTACTGAATCCCACACACCTAGAGCCCGTGCTCCACAAAAAGGGAAGCCACCGCAACAAGAAGCTCACACACCACAACAAAGAGTAGCCCCCACTCACCGCAACTAGAGGAAGCCCACGTGCAGCAATGAAGACCCAACACAACCAAAAATAAATAAATAAATAAATATTTTTTTAAAAAAAAGAGAGAGAATCCTTATGTTTTATCTCAACAGAGCTGGGGGGAAAACAACTAGACAAATCAAGAAAATAAGTAAATATCCTGATGCCCAGGCTGCATCCCAGACCAATCACATCAAAATCTCTGGGGGTGGGCCCCGGTATTTCCTAGTCTTCCAGATCATTCCAAATGTGCAGGCAAAGGTGTAAACCAATGACGTAAACAACAAAGGTAAGGAATAAGCAGGTACGAAGCAGCTAGAGAACTCCTGATTTGACAGCTCAGTTTGGAAGGAAAAGTGGTGCTTAACTCTAAGTTCTATAATGTTTTTCTATTAAAAACCGGTAGCCAGGGACCTCCCTGGTGGCACAGTGGTTAAGAATCCACCTGCCAATGCAGTGGACACGGGTTCGAGCCCTGGTCTGGGAAGATTCCACATGCTGCAGAACAACTAAGTCTGTGTGCCACAACTACTGAGCCTGTGTGCCACAATTACTGAAGCCCGCTCGCCTAGAGCCCATGCTCCACAATAAGAGAAGCCACCACAATGAGAAGCTCGCGCACCGCAACAAAGAGTAGCCCCCTCTCACCGCAACTAGAGAAAGCCCACGCACAGCAACAAAGACCCAACACAGCCAGAAATAAATAAATAAATAAATTTATTTTAAAAAAAACAGTAGCCAGGGAATTCCCTGGCCGTTCAGTGGTTAGGACCGCGCTTTCACTGCTGAGGGCCCAGGTTTAATCCCTGGTCAGGGAACTAATATCCCGCAAGCTGCACGGCATGGCCAAAAAATAAATAAGTAAATAATAATAATAATAAGCTGGTAGCCAGAGATTAGAGAGGGAAATAAATTGTGTAGGTCCTAAAAGCAGGTCTCCTTAACGCAAGTGAAGAACAAAGAATGAGAAAATACATAGAGTGAACTAGAAATACAGGATTAAAATATATCTCTTTAGATAAAGAAAACAAAAGGTTTAGGACCTGTGACTTTTAAGAAGACCTTAAAAAATATTTAAAATCACAGCCTGAAAGACAACAATCTCTCTCTGCTGCAGGAATTTAATTACCTGGAGAACCGGCTGTGTGCTCAGGAAGCACACAAAGATGGGGCCAAATACATAGGAAACACAAATTGCCCTGAGGAAAGAACTGTTCTTCAACGTCCCATCCAAAACCTAGCGTAATGGGGAACACATTCTAAAAAACAACAACAAGGGCTTCCCTGGTGGCGCAGTGGTTGAGAGTACGCCTGCCGATGCAGGGGACGTGGGTTCGTGCCCCGGTCCGGGAGGATCCCACATGCCGCGGAGCGGCTGGGCCCGTGAGCCATGGCCGCTGGGCCTGCGCGTCCGGAGCCTGTGCTCCGCAGCGGGAGAGGCCACAACAGTGAGAGGCCCGTGTACCGCAAAATAAATAAATAAATAATAAAATAAAAAACAACACAAGTCGTAAGGCTAGAACGGGGAAGGTCTGACTCATGGGTCAGCTGCTCCACTTTCAGCCTCGTCGGCATCATCGCCTTCACAGGTGTAGGCAGTCCAACAGCTACGCAGCACTGGCTCCTTGTCACTTGGACTGCAAAAGGCAGAGGTCTCATCCCGAGGATCAGACCCACAGTAAGACTTACTTTAACAAAAGGCTGTATGTCGACAGAGAAAGCCCTGTGTGGGTGCTGTTCTTTTTTCCAGCACTTGTTCACAAAAGAAGCTGGGCGAAGTCCTCACCGTGGGGGCAGCTGTTGGCTGATGTTGTTTGCCCTCCCAGAGCATTTTCAGATACCTGTTGAGTATCTTTCTGCCCAAAGACTGAGATGCTGGCGGGTTTCTATGTTCTAGGAACAGAAGTCAGGGCTGCGGCCACGGTGTGAGGGAACTGAGCCAGAGGCTTGGGGTCTAGGCGCCCAGTTGCCCTGGTAACTCCCTGTTTACACTGTAAACCAGACAGAACTTCAAAGCTGCATTTATAAAAGCATGCTAATAGCAACAGACCAAAATAAATGAAAATTTACAGGCAGGCACGTTTTGGAATTCTTAATAAGCTCTTTTTATCCTTCTTTAATTATCGTTTAAAGGATGCTTGCCAGCCTCGCTCCTTAGCCTGCTGGCAAATGAAACGTTAGTTTTTGTATGCTTTTTTTTTTTTTTTTTTGGGGGGGGGGGGCGGGGGCAGGCTGCACAGCGCGGCATGCGGAACTTCCCCGACCAGGGATAGAACTCACATCCTCTGCAATGGAAGCGCGGAGTCTTACGCACTGGACCGCCAGGGAGGTCCAGTATTTTTAGGCTTCGTTTAAATATTCTATCTGCAGTCCATTCCACACCGTTAGTCCAAATTTTCATGTGACAGTTGGAATGAAGGCCTACGGCTCCCTCAAACAAAACATCCTGCCCCAAAGCAGTGCAATTTATAAAAACTGCTCGCCACCCCTTGCTGCTAAAGATATTCATCTTTGTGCATCTTTGGTCAGTAACACGCATATATGCACACAAAGTTTCCAAACCAGAAAAAGCGTTCAACGTGAAGTCCTACAAGATATGACGATAGTTTGTCATCACTTGACGAAAAGCACTAATAATTTGAACGAGGGGCCAAGCGCGCGCGAACACACACGCTGTGCTTATCAACAGCTCTTTAAATGTAAAGACTAATTACCCTCGACAAGAAATAAGGTACGTATAAACTTCCTAGCTGACTCTACTTAACAGAAGTTCTGTCAACAGCCCCGGGGTGGCGGCGACGCACGACACTTGGGGGCTCCGGGGCCTTCCCACTCTCCACCCGCCCGTCCCCCCACGCCGCGTACGCTGCTCCGCGCCAGGCCCGTGCCGGCTCGGGGACCCTGCTCCCGGGTAGCTCAGCCGAGGCCGCCAGTGCGGCAACGCAGGTGAGCGCCCACGTGTGTCCCTGAGGGGCGCGGCTCGGGTCTGTCGCCCCTCGCGGTCACTCCCGGCCCAACCTTTCCGGGAACCACGCTCACCCGGCTCGGCGCGGCATCCCTGCGCTCACCGCCGCGCTCGGGGACGGGCTGGCAGCCGCCGCCGGAGAAGGCGCGGCAGAGAGGAAGGAGGAACCTCCTCGGGGGTCGCAAGGCCGCCATGGCTGCCGTCCGGCGGCTACCGCACGCACAGCGGAGTCGCGACGGTGCGAGGGGCTGCCTTACGGCACGGTCGCAAAGTCCGCGGGAGGGGACTACTTGGCCGACCATGAACTAGCCCGGCATGTGACAGGCTGCGTGGGCGGCCGAACGGCGCGAGCGCGCCCGGGTGGCAGCTCCTCGGGCGCGGGCATTCCAGGGCATTGCGGTAGGCGGCTAGCGGCGAGCTCAGCAAAGGTCGAGGTGCAGCGCGGACGCCGGAGGACGTTTTCCCAGGGCGGGGTGTGTTCGGCCCGGGGACGGGGCTGCCGGTCCCGGCGACTGCAGGACTGAGGAGCTTTGGCGGCGAAGCGTGCGATGGCGCGGGCTGCGCAGGTGAGCGAGGGCGGAGGCCTCCGCGGGGGGGAGGGGGTGCGCGCGCGGCCTCCCTCGGCGCGGGCTGCCAGCGGACGACCCCTGTCCCGGGGCGCCACACCCGCCCCGGGTCAGACGCGGCCGGGCCTGGTTTCGGAGCCGGGCTCCCCGCAGCCGGCCGGGCCCGAGTTCCCTCTCTTCTCGCCGGCTCCCCTGGCCCGGCAGAGCGCGGCCGTCCCCTCCCCCCACGGGCCATTGTGAGGTCAGGCCGGCGGACGCGTCGTGGAGCCGGGCGAGACGCCCGGAGCGGCCGCTGCGGCCGGTAGCTGCCGCTGCCACCGCCGGCCCCTTCACTGGCTGCCCCGTTCAGACCTAGCCGGGACGGGGAGAGGGATGCAGCTCCGGTGCCGCACCCCGTAAAGAGTCGATCTTCCATCTGGCCACTTCACCCACGGGAAGCCAAGACCAAACCAGCTTAGACCGCTGCTGGGTAAAGTGCCGGGAGGGCCGGGCGAGAGAGGAGGAAACAGCAGAGGCAGCCTGCTCTTCTGGGCTTCCAGAGGCGTGTTCTGGGCTCGGCCACCCACAGGGGATTAGTTTCGGTTGAGCATCCATCCCCTTCCCGTGAAAGAGCGTAAAAAAAAGAAAAAAATGCGTTAAGCCCTTCTGGACCCTTAAAGGGAGGCTGGTGAATGAATTAGTCATAGTTGTCTCATTCTCGTGGGGTGTGGTTTGGAGGAGGAGAGGAGCATGATAGGGCCCAGGGGGTACTAGGCCTCCGAAGCCCAAGGTGGTGTCTTTAACGTAACCCCAGTCGCCTTCCCTGTGGAATTTTATCCCTGTGCAGGGAGGATTTGTGAGGTATGAAAAGGGCGGGGCGAGAAACAGGGTATCTTTACACAAGTGCTTAAAGGGTGGAGAGGAAGTAGAAGCGGGGACTTTTGGGAGTGTCTGCGAACCCCTGGTGTTTGTTTCACTGGCTCAGCTCCTTTTGTTTAGTTCCTTTTCCTGAAACTAGGCATAGCACTTTGGCCTGGTGGGGTTGCTTCAGTGAACCCACGTCGTCTGGAAGGTTAGGAGAGCTGCTGTTTCACATTCTGCAGAGGGGCCCTGCTCTTGCCAAAAACCAGCTTCCAGTGTTAGGACCTAAGGTACTTGTGCTTTTTCCAAGCTGATGGTTCAGCCTCGTGGCATACTTACGAAGGCATATGCCGTTTTCTTTGATGACTGAGGAAACTGAATTTCCCAGGTCCAGAGCTCTGGCTCATATTCCCCACTGCAGTAACCCCGATCTCAATCACTGTCACGTTTAGGTTGTTTTCAGGAGAGGGAGTTGATTAGTCACTCTAATTTCTGTACTTGAGCTTGACTGTTCTTGGGATCGCAATAACAAGCCGTATTTCTTAAGCATATCTTTGTAGAATGAATTAATATACGATTACCATTCTGCAGGCTTTGTGGTGTAATAAGTTATCCTGTTTGTCATCTTTTAGTGCTTGTGAAACTGAACACAACAAAAGTATGGAGATGGGAAACCAACATCCTTCTATTACTAGGCTTCAGGAAATCCAAAAGGAGGTAAAAAGCATAGAACAGCAAGTAATTGGTTTCAGCGGTCTGTCAGACGACAAGAATTACAAGAAACTAGAGAGGATTCTAACAAGACAACTTTTTGAAATAGACTCGGTAGATACTGAAGGAAAAGGAGATATTCAGCAAGCTAGGAAGAGGGCAGCACAAGAGACAGAGCGTCTTCTCAAAGAGTTGGAGCAGAATGCAAACCACCCACACAGGATCGAAATAGAGAACATTTTTAAAGAAGCCCAGTCCCTAGTGAAAGAGAAGATTGTGCCATTTTATAGTGGAGGCAACTGTGTAACTGATGAGTTTGAGGAAGGCATCCAGGATGTCATTTTGAGGCTGACACATGTTAAAACTGGAGGCAAGATCTCCTTGCGGAAAGCACGGTATTACACTTTAACCAAAATCTGTGCAGTGCAAGAGATTATCGAGGACTGCGTGAAAAAGCAGCCTTCCCTGCCGCTTTCTGAGGACGCGCATCCCTCAGTTGCCAAAATTAACTCTGTGCTGTGTGACGTGAACAAGACCAGAGGCACTCTGATTGCCCTTCTTATGGGAGTGAACAGTGATGAGACTTGCAGGCACTTATCTTGTGTGCTCTCGGGGCTGATGGCCGATCTGGATGCTTTAGACGTGTGCGGCCGCACAGAAATCAGAAATTACCGGAAGGAGGTCGTGGAAGATATCAACCAGTTATTGAAGTACTTGGATTTAGAAGAGGAAGCAGATGGCACTCGTGCATTTGACCTGGGGCAGAATCATTCCATTTTAAAAATAGAACAGGTCCTCAAGAGAATGAGAGAAATAAAAAACGAACTTCTTGAAGCACAGAATCCTTCAGAATGGTACCTGAGCTCCAAAACAGAGCTGCAGGGTTTGATTGGACAGTTGGATGAGGTAAGCCTTGAAAAAAACCCCTGCATCCGGGAAGCCAGGAGAAGAGCGGTGATCGAAGTTCAGACCCTCATCACTTACATCGACTTGAAGGAAGCCCTCGAGAAGAGAAAGCTGTTTGTTTGTGAGGAGCACCCCTCACACAAAGCGGTCTGGAGCGTCCTGGGAAACTTGTCAGACATCCAGGGGGAAGTTCTCTCATTTGATGGCAGTCGAAATGATAAGAACTACATCCGGCTGGAGGAGCTGCTCACCAAGCAGCTGCTTGCCCTGGACGCCGTTGACCCACAGGGAGAGGAGAAGTGTAAGGCTGCCCGGAAGCAGGCAGTGAAGCTTGCACAGAATATTCTCAGCTATCTCGACTTGAAATCCGATGAATGGGAGTACTGAAACGCCAGAGAGCCCACGGTTGATCATTCTTCTTTTGCACTTTATATATATGTCTGTGTATTTATAGAGAGCGTTCAGTTTGTTGAGCCTGGATGTGATTTATACATGCATATGTCAATCTCAGTATTTATGATTTAAGCAAATTCAGTATCTCTGCTGCTTTTGATGTTGAAAAACAAATATTACGACATACTAACTTTTCCATTTGGATCACTATGTTGTGGTGTGGTTTTCTGTTGTTTTTTTTAAAATCAGAAAATGGAATAGGGGCAGCTTTTAAAAGTTTTAATAGGTTCAAGCATTAAAATGCAGATATTTCAGAATCTAGAATAGACATAACCTTACATAATAAATACCAGGACAGTTATGAGGAAGGGGGAAATTTTTGGTTAAATAGAAGTAAAGTCCAAGCACAAACGCAGTACAATGAAATGTTTTATTATGCTAAATAAAGCAGAAGGATTTTTTTCATTTATAAAACCCAGTTGGTTCCACCCAATTTAAGAGGGTGGGAGTCTTTTTTTGTTTTTTTGGATGGTGGGTTTTTTCATAAACATTTTTTGTTTGAAATACAGTGTATTTTCTCCTGTACTCTGCACTTAGAGGGGGAGTCTTATTTTTGTGTATGACATAATAAAATTATGAAAATGAATAGCAAAAACACCTTTGAGACTGCATTGAAGAAGGGATAAAACACCAGCTGATACCTTCAAGTTGTTTTTGTTTGTAAAATCTAAACTTAGAGTTTCCCTTAGAAATTACTAAGGATGGGAACATTTAAATGAAGTTAATGGACCTTGAAAAAAAAAGGAAACACCCACACCCATGGTAAGGTAATGAAAAGAAGTGGAAATTACCAATTATCAGGTTATGCTAAAATAAGCAAAAATGTCTGCACGTAGCACGTAATGGGCTTCTTCTGTCATTCAAGGCGGCATAAGGGACAAACTTGTTAAACATTCCCGATGCTGTTTTACAGTGTATGAGAGCAGAAACTGTCAGCAGCCCTGCAGGACCAGCTCTTTGAAGCTTGTTCAGAGGAAGCGAGCATCAGCTCCCTGCGCCTGCAGACGTCGCACTCCGGGCACCTGCTGCATTCCTTAGCTCATGTTATTGGCACATGGATGCTTCTCTAGTGCCTGAAAGGGCCAGTAAAGTCTGTCAGTGCAGGAAATTTTTTTTTTCTGCTAAAGGGTACACATATTTCTGTACATACTTTTTGAGGATCCAAGATTACCAGTTGCCTGTTAAGGTGAACAAAAGAATTTCCCAGAGTTCTGAAGTGCCTTGATAACTTGCTGCCCCAGTATTATAACTAACAGACTACTCCGTAGTCAGCTCTCACAAAATAATCGTATTAGAGTACATCTTTTGAGCTCTATAGTAATTTGTTCTTTTCTTTCAGAGATATTAATTTGATAACTTTGGAAACAGCTAAAAATAAGATGGATAAAGGAATAGCCCTAAACACCTAAAAGATTATAAACGTGTAGCCCTAAAAAATTTTCATTTTGTCTCAGTACTGCCCAATAATTAAAAGCCCTTGATATGTCTTTCCTACTAGAAATGTTATAGATTCATCGGACAGTGGGGTCAAAGGGCAATCGGAGGTCTTTGGGCCGTGAGCCTTCCACCTGCACGTCCAGCGGGCTTTCAGTGCAGCTTATTGGTAGCTCATGCCGACCAAAGTCGTTTCAGGATTGCTCTCCTGTATCATAATTTTAGGGTGCTCTTAAAATCTTGAGGAGTTTTTAAGTTCGAGCACTGTTGGCGTTATATCACTGGGCAATCAAGGCTGTACTCTGACTCACTTCAGACGTACACACATCCTGCACCAGGCCCCACTGCTTCACGTTCATTTCAGATTTGAAAGTTAAATGTTAGCCTGTCCTTTCAGAGTATCCATTGTTGTTTGAAAGCAGTTCTTCCTCCAGCATTTATTTCCAGCAGTGTTTTCCATAACTCACAGAGATGGCTCAAACCGTTAATCTTTGCGCATCGGGGGTGAGCATAGGATATTGAGCCCATCCACGGTCACGCTGGATTTCTCACGGGGATTATTTTGGTCATTGAAATAATCAGATCAGCCTTGAGTGCTGAGGAGTGATGCTCCCTGTCTTCAGTCTGTTCTAGTTCCTTGTGCCCGATGATTCGGTTCCCATGATGAGCCCTAGCGATACTGGCTTTAGCTGCTCCTGTCCCTCATTGGGAGGCGTGTGTGTTAATGTGGCCTGCTGCATGTATTTTGGGTTCATCACTTTGTATTGTATTTTTATGATCTCACTTGAAGAGAATCTGTACTGGAAGTAAAACCTGCCCCCTAAAAATGTTTGGCCTTGGGTCTGCATTAAACTGTATAATCCATGTTCATGAGACATTGCCTGCGAATGTTTGCTTTCTTTACCTTCCCCTCAGTCAGCATTGCTTTCAGGTCATTCTTTCTCCAAACAGATTAATCAGCCTACTGTGAAGTAGTTAAGGAAATAAATATGAAGACTATGTCCACTAAGGACAGTTTAATGCTTTATTTTGCTAAACTGCCTGGGTATAATATAGTTGACATAATTTAGTATATTTGAAAAGTTTAACCAGTTTTTCTCATTTGTTTTGCTTGGCCAGTTTTTAATCTGGTTTTGGAGGGTCTAAGCTTATCCTGTTCACACAGGTTTTTTTAAGCAAAGCTTTTTAGCTTTTAACTCATGCAGTGTTTTTCTCAAGAATAATTGGAGAACAATTTGCCACACTGATTTTGATGTATAATTCAGGTGTGTCATTCCAGCGTGTTGGTTCTCGTCCCTGCCCCATGAACTGTGTGACTACTGAATACTGTGTCTTAAATAATTCAGCATTATTTTGAGGTAGACATACTAGTATACCCTTAATTATTGATGAAATAAAAAATCTCTTAGCTTCTCTTTGCGGTGGAGAAAGGACGTGAGTCTGAGGTGTGAGTCCTGTCATGTTTTCACCTTTGGGTACTGTCTGACTTGGGTGCCCCTGAGCAGGCCAGGCCCGGGAGGAGGGCTCCTTGGCTCCAGTCAGGGGCAGCGATGTGAGGGGGCCGCAGCGCAGAGCACAGACGGGGATCCAGTGGCGGGTGAAGGGGTAACTGTGCCCCCGTAAACAACCCAGGAAGTGGGGGGGGGCAGGGAACCTGGAGCAGATGTGGCCTCACGTGCTGCTTCCCTGGGGAGGGTGCCCGCGGGCCAAGCGCACAGGAGCTGCCCTTACTCGCAGGAGGGGAAACTCGAGGCGTTCTGGAAAGGTCCTCTCCCCGGAGGAAAGGTTTGAGGTAAGGTGTTGTGCTGTTGAAACTCATCTTAACGGAGATGTTTTTCTGGCCACTTGAGAGTCTCGTGCTCTGCCACCTGAGCTAGTCGGGCGGCCGTGTATCTCTGACCATCTAGTCCTTCCAGCATTCCCAAAATGCTCTGCTCTGCCTCGGGCTCCCTCACCCACCTCGCAGCTCACCCTCGTTTTGGCAGTTGTCTGTCACAAACCCATTACAACCCATTACCTGGTGGCAGCAACTGGTTTTGCCTTTTCCCCGCCTCCTCCTACAGGCCCTCTTCTGTCTTCTCTGCCTGCGTGTTCCAGTGATCCAAGTGGAGAAGCAGCGCGGCCAGCCCCGCCGTGCAGGTGTGTGATGCGTAATAGGCCAGCCGCCAGGAGAAACAAATCGTACAGGTTAAAAAGACAGGAAATTTGACATTTTTAATTCTCTGCCACCCACCAAGATGCGCTCTGCCCCGTTAGGCTTGGGTTATTTACGCACGTTAGAAACTGTTCTCAAGGACTTCCCTGGTGGCGCAGTGGTTAAGAATCCGCCTGCCAATGCAGGGGACACGGGTTTGAGCCCTGGTCCGCGAAGATCCCACATGCCGTGGAGCCACTAAGCCCGTGCGCCACAACTACTGAAGCCCACGCACCTGGAGCCCGTGCTCTGCCACAAGAGAAGCCACTGCAATGAGAAGCCCACGCACCACGAGGAAGAGTAGCCCCCGCTCACTGTAACTAGAGAAAGCCTGCGCACAGCAACAAAGACCTAATGCGGCCAAGAATCAATAAATACATTTTTTTAAAAAACTGTTCTCAAGCTCTTGCTGTGTGCTCAGTGCTCAGGTTGGGAAATGGCCATCCTATTGTGTCTCAGCCAGCGTGGAGGTGGCAAAGGACACGCTTGTCCCGCATCCGTCTCGGGCATAAACTCCAGGATGTCAGGAGAGCGGGGCAGGTCCTCCCTGAGCGCTGGAGAGAGACCGTGAGTGCCATAGGCCAGGGAGGCTGAGGGACAGGGCTCAGGGACCCCCCGAGGCTGGTCAGCAACAAGACAGGAGAAACCCCAGCGCAGGGCAGCGATGTCGCACAGGGGCTGAGCAGCACAGCGCTGGCAAACTTGGTTCTTACTTCCAGCGCGCAGAAGCGCTAACTGGAGGGCGAGCGAGGCCCGCCTCAGGGCCCGGATGCAGGTCAGCGGGTGCCCGGCTGTCAGAGTGTGTCTGATGCGGGGCGGGGGGTGTCCTACGTTGCTTCCGCTATCATTTAAACATTTTTCAAGCCATCGTTGAGTGAACGTTCCTGCGTGCCAGGCCCTGGGCGAAACGCCTCATGTGCATGTTAAACTCTGCGAACCATTCCAGGCAGGTTTTGGTAAGTGTATTTCACAGATTTGGGCTCTACAGCAATCACTTGCCCAAGGCACTGCCCGAGGCCGCATGGCGAACCGGGAGGACAGGACAGCCCAGTAGGGTACATGCAAGCACAGGGTTTACCTGGAGGGTCCCACCCCAGGGGCTCTGATTTCATCAGCATGGGTGCAGGCTGGACGGTGGGAAGGCGTCCGGAGCACTCAGGGTCGGAGAACTCGGCCAGTTAAAGTGTAGTTGGCATTTCCCCCGCTTAGGAGTCACAGACCTTCGGAGCTCCAGGCACCCGTGACTCGCAGCTGGAGAAACACCGGAGAAACACCAAACCGGTCACGGCAAGTGGCTGACGTCGTCTGTATACTAACCCTTTGAACTCCTGAACCATTTCCCTGCAGCCTCCACCTGGCCCTCACACCCACGTGATTGTCCCGCCGCATCCTCCGGCAGACGCAGGATGTGGAGTTGGATGGAGGGGCGAGCCACCATTGGTGGGTTCTGTCACCTCCGCCCCACCCCTGAGACGGCGGGCGTGGCCTGGTACTGGCCCCCTCCCCTGCCGCAGCCCTCGGGGCCCACGGGCTGGTCACTCCCACGCCAGGCTGCGGTGCCTTCCTAGGCAGAACCTTCTCCTCATCCTCGAAGCCTCCGTCCCAGGCAGCAGGAGGCGCTCGGATACCCTTTGGCTGAACTTTAGAAACAGTGTCCTGGCACATAATACATCCCCCAAACACTTGCTGCATAAGTAAATGGAAAACCTCAGCCCTTCACGTGGCTTCATAAAGTGTTTAGAATCAGGGAGATTCCCTGGCGGCCAAGTGGCTAGGACTCGGCACCTTCACTGCTGACGACACGGGTTCAGTCCCCGGTCGGGGAACTAAGATCCGTGTGGCGCGGCCAAATAGTTAATTAAATAAAATCAGCGGCCCTTTTGCTCATCTGGATCCAAAGAAGCTTGGTCTACAGCACCTGCAGCCGAAATCCTGCTATCCCCATCAGGAGGTCACCTCACGCCCACCTCGCCCGCTGGGTGGGATCGGCAGCGGCCGTGCCCAAGACCCGTGTGGCAGGAAAGCCAGCCAGGCTGGCACGTCGCCACCCTCACGTCTGACTGACTGCACTCGGCCGAGCACCCGGCTGGGTGAGAAGCCCAAGGGACACGTCAGCCCCCACATAAGGGGCCCTCAGGGGCACGCACTGCGGCCTCCTCCCTTGGTCACCTCGTCTTGCCGGCCAGGCTGGCGGACGAGTCCAGGGGAGCGGGTGCGCATGTGCCCTGAGCTCCTGTGCAGGGGACTCTGAGGACGCTGTAGGGGCACACCCTTTACACGGAGACCCCCGGGGTGGGAGGGCCTCCCAGGTGAGGGGGCATCGGACGTAGAGGCCCAGAGTCTGGTGCCAGGCGTACCCGAGGGCCTGGGAGCACCTCGGCAGGGAGCAGGGGTCAGAGCACGGGTGCCGGGGGCCCTGGTGAGCCAGGGGAGGATTTGGGTCTTTGGAGACGAGGAGTTTTGTTGAAGGCTCACCCGGTGGCAGACGTAGGGACTGAACTGGGAGCACTGGGGCCAGGGCAGCAGGGCCCGGAGGGAGGGAGGGACCCAGGGGGAGGGTTTACAAGGACGGTGAGGGTGGCACCAGGGGATGGGGGCTCCCAGGGGTCTGGTCTAACAGCAGGAGGGTCTACTCAAGGGGACAGGGTCACACAAGCAGTGCAAGAACCCCCTGGATCTAGCTGAATAACAAAATGAGCTGGTTATTAAAGGTGCAAAGAGGGACCTCCCTGGCGGTCCAGTGGTTAGGACTCCACGCGCTCACTGCCGAGTGCCTGAGTTCAATCCCTGGTCGGGGAACTAAGATCCCACAAGCTGCATGGTGCGGCAAAAAAAAGAAAGAAAGAAAGAAGGATGCAGATAATTTAACAGGCAGGCACAGAAGCCAGCCATGTCCCATGGGCCTGGCTCCTGAGCCTGAGGTCTCGTCGGCACCGTCCACAGCCTCATCATGCTGCCCTCCCCCACAGGCCAGCTTAGGCAGGCCCAGGCCACTCTCAGGGTCCCATATGCCTTATTTTCTCTGGGAGGCCCAGGTTCCATCTTTTCAGAAAAAGGCATCTTTTGGCACTCATCCCCGACCCAGCCACTCAAAAGAAAGGCAGGTGTCCCAGGGCCAACTTGGACCAACAGGGTTATCGGGGTGGCCCAGGAGGTAGGGGCCACGCGAGGGCCAGGGGAAGAGTGTGAGGGCAGACCAACAGCTGTGCAAAGGCCCTGAGGTGCAGCAGCTCCTGTGGTTGTAGCCAGGTGAGAAGTCAGGTGAGAGTCTGCCGGGCTGGATCCCACAGGGCCTTGCTGGCTATGGGGGGAGCCATGTGTGCCTGGCAAGGCAGGATTGCATCCTAGACCAGAGGCTCCCCAAAAACAAGAGAGCCAGGTTCAGGTAGCCTTCTGGGACCGGGTGCTTCTGGGGAGACCCTGCCAGGCCCAGCCCACAGCAGCTCCACCAAGCCAGGCCCCGTGACTTTTGCCATGGATGGCCGTCCAGGTGCTAGGCCTGTGCTTGGGCCAGCTTGAGAGAGTGCCCCTTGCGGGGGGGGGGGGGTCCCTCCAGATGAGATCCCTAGGGGCCTGTGTGAGACCCACTGTGCGCGGGGCCTGCCCGGCTGGGTGGAAAAGGATGACCTAGATAGACCCGCCGCACGGCCCGGCCCTCCGCACGGCCCGGCCCTCCGCACGGCCCGGCCCTCCGCACGGCCCGGCCCGCACCGCGGCGCACCTGCTCCCACGTTGGGCCCCTGACCTTGGAGGGCGGTCTTCCCCTCCGCGGCCCGCCCTCCGGTCCTGTTTTGCTGTGCGGCCGCCAGGCGGCGCCCGCGGCCCAGTTTCACGGAGCCCAGGACCCGCCCGGGTGGAGGGAGCAGCAGGCAGCGGGCAGGGGCGCCGGCCGCGCAGCTGCCCTCGGGATGCTGGACAGGTGGCCGCGGCGCCGCTTGGCTGCGGCTTCTGTCCCCGAGCTGTGCGTGGTGCTCGTGCTGGGTTCCATGACCCGTCACGCCGCGACCACGCGCTCTGATGGGTCCTTGTGGAGGCCCGTGGATCTCGCTTCTGACTCACCCCTCAGAGTTGGGGGTCCAGCAGGACCGTCTCAGGCCGGGTCGGCCCACCTGCCCACAGCTCATGTGGCATCGCGCCATCAGGGTGGAGCTGGGTGGCCTGGCAGGCAAGGCAGCCCTGCAGTCCGCCCCCATCTCTACGCAGGCTGGTCCCTCCCTCCTGGGCAGTTGAGCTCAACCTTCACGTCCAAGCCAAATGCCACATCCTGCCCCCTGCCCCGTGTGCTGATCCTCCGGGCCCCAAGGCGCTCTGGCCTGGGACAGATACCGCCCCCCACCTCCGCCAAACTGGCTGATCCCAGCCGCATCCTCTGTTCCCGGGCCCCACGGGGGCTCCTGTGTTTTGAGGTCTAGGGCAGGAGGGCCGAGGAAGTCAGTGGAAACCGAAGAGAAGGGAGGAACTGGAAATCAGTAGCAGGTGGGCGAGCCCGGGCGGGGAGTCTGGGCCCTCGGGGTCAGGAAACACTGCTGTGGGCAGTGGGAAGGGAGGGCTGGTCCTCACCCTGCCTGGGCCTCCCCCGGTGCTCCCGGGGCTCAAGGAGCCCTGTCCTTCTCCAGGCCTCCGTTCCCCCCTGCAGGCCTCCCAGGGCCTGTGTTGGCAGCAACCAGGGCAGCTCAGGTGACGTGCGCCAGGCAAAGGCCTCTGCCCCCGTGTGAAGCAGGCCTCTGGCCCCATGCCACCTGCAGCAGCAAGGCGGGGCAGGTGTGAGGGCAACCGCAGCAGCTCCAGCCATGGGGCCTGGTGGGTGGCCCAGGGTGCAGGGGTCCCTCCCTGCCTCCAGCCTGGCCTGTGCCCAAGGCAAGCCTCTGTGCCACTGTCACCTCAGCGCCAGGAGCAAGATCCTTTCCCCCGCCCCCCGCCCCTGATGTCAGACGCCTCCTGCCCTTTCTCCCTCAGGACCCCCAGCATGCTCCCAGCTCCGGCCCACCCACTCGCCCCTCCACGAAGCCCCCTCTCCCCCTGCTGCCCCTCCACCACGCCCCTGCCTAAGGAAGCTTTTGGGGGCCTCTCAAGAGCCCCTCTCCTCTGCCCTGAGCCAGCTCTAACTTTCGAGCACTTCCTGAGCGCCTCACACAGCTTCACGCGCTGCTGGCCGCTGGGCTGGGGAGGCTGCAAGGGGCGCAGAGGTAGGATCCCCACCGGAGAGCCTCGGCCTCCTGGGCCCGAAGGCCTTTGTGCTGAAAGGCCCCCGCTGCTAACAGCTCAGGGCCTTTCCCCGGGCCCTTGGGATTCTAACAGACAAAGCGCTCACCCCAAGGACGCGGGTGCCCACGGGGCCACCGCCGCCGCGGGGCGCAGGTCGGAAGGACGCAGGCCCTCCTGTTGGCGAGGAGCCAGCGCCTGCACAGACAGCGTGCGGGCGTGAGGACCCCTGGCCTCAGACTGGGAGGGGGGAGCTCACAGGGCCCAGCTGTGACCCTGAAGGGCGGCCTGGGAGTCCCCCCGGCCCCTCCCACCTGGCCCTCCCCAGGGAACTCGGTTCCCGTGCCCCCTCCCCGCCCTCACTGGGGTCCTTGCCGGCTGGGCTTCCGGGACCCTGGGGTCAGCTGACGTCGGGAGGGAGGTGGGCGTGGCTCCGGCCATGGCGGCTGCCCACCAGGGCCTTCCTGGGCCCCTGCCTGTGCAGCGGGCGGTGAAAGCCACTTCATCGCGGGGCTGAGTCCAGCGAGGCACACACGGGGCCCGGGGTGGGCACGGCAGCTGCCGTGGTGTGTGGAGGAAGCCCAGCGGGGCCCAGAGGCAGCCCGAGCCAACGCACTGCTGCTCGGCTCAGTCTGCCCCTTAGGCCCAAAGAGCCCCTCCCCTCCCCGCTCCTTGAGCAGGGCAGCCAGGCTAGAGGAGGCCCCTCGCCAAGGCCGCTGAGGCCCAGCTCCGGGCTTCGCAGCCCCTCGGAGTCCGGGGGCGTCTTGGAGCCGAAGCTCTGCACTGCAGCCCACCTCCCACCGTGAGGCGGAGCTCCTGCAGCTTCACCTTCACCGAGTGCCTCGTGTGGCTGCGCGTGTGTGCTGTGAGTGTGTGCACAGGCTGTGTGTGTGACGAGGTGGAACAGACGCTCTGCCACGGCTCCCTCCGTTCCCCGGCAGCCTGCGGGTGGGCAAGGGGCCCGGGGGTAGAGGAGGGCTCGGAGACTGGGAGCAGCCCCTGAGTGGCGATGGGGCCTGGCCGGGCTGGGGAGGGACGCCTGGCAGCTA